TCCTCCGGACGCTACTTCACCTACAAGGACCAGAACATCTTCTACAGAGGTGACAGAGCGGCACCGAGCCCTTGGGGACACCGCGTCTGTCCTGGGGGGGAGTGCGACTGGGGGCTCTGCATCCCTTGGTGGCCCTGGGGACGTCCCCAAGGCCAGGTGGGGTGATGGCAAATCCCTTCCAAATGTAACGGCTTTAAGGGGAGCTGCTGCGTGGATCCAGGCACAGCGTGGATCCAGGCACAGCCTGGCTGTTCGTTAGCAAAACATTTTAATTGGGTGAAGCCATAAAAGTTGGTTCTTGTGCAGCAGCGGCGATACCTTGGTGTTGGCGGGGAAGGATCCCAAGAGCCTTCACAGGAAGGAAAAGAGACCGAAAAACCTTTTTGCTGGAGTGGTTGTCACCCGTCGTTGTCAGCTTGGGGGCAGCCGCAATTAAATTGTGTTAAATAAACCCCTCCTTTGCATCCAGTAGCTGGTGCTGGTGGCCGCGGTGGCTCGTCTGGCCGGGTTTCTGAAGCCACACGGGGAAGCTGTGGTGTGGGTCAAAGCCACGCGTGGTTTTTGGGGAGTGGGGGGAGAGGTAACTGGGCTCCCAGTGGGGCAAACGTTGCGTCTGTCTTATAGGGGAGGAAAGTGGGAGGGGAAAAATGGAAAAAGCTGACCCTGAGGCACCTCGTTTCCTCCCCAGATTCGACCGGTGCTGTCGGCAGCTCCGACATTGTCATCCTCCTGCACGGCTTCCCGACCTCCAGCTACGACTGGTACAAGGTGAGGGGAGCGACTATAGGGGGGATTGGATGTTGAAAGCAAACCCCGTGGTTTCTCCTTCCCAGGGACGAGCAGATGGAGATGGGTGGTGGGTCAGGAGGAGCTTCTGCTGGGGGTACCATCGTGCTCTGGGATATCAGCCCTGATCCTCTCTCAATGCCTTGCAGAGGAGCAAAGCTCTTTCCATGTCCCTTTTTGCCCACACTCCAGCCCAAAGCCAAAGAACCACAATGATTTCTTGGCTTTTTTTGGGGGATGGTCTTGCTGTATGTTGGGAAATTTCAACTTCTTGTAGTTTTCTTGGCGCTGGAAGGTGCTGTGTGGGGGAATGGAGGGGAGCAGGGGCACCCACGGTTGCACATCGCCGCAGACTTTTCCTTTCTCCGCTCACATCAGCCATTTTTTTAATACATTTCTCTTCCAGATCTGGGAAGGGCTGACCCAGCGGTTTCACCGGGTCATTGCTCTGGATTTCGTAGGATTCGGTTTCAGCGACAAGCCTGTAAGTAGCCTGGGAGCAGGATTTTCACAGTTAGAGGTTCTGCCGTGCCAGCATCCCCAGGGAATTGGCATTTGCAGTCCAGTTTCTTCTGGGAAACTGGGGAAGGTGCGTGGTGGAGATCGGTGCTGTCATTGTCTTGCCTTTAGTTGGGTTTGACGTGACTCCAAAGCACACCTTGACCCCTTTGGGGCATGGGCAGCGCTCCCATGGGCTTGTGGACGCAGCTTCTGTCCCAGGACATCCCGAGTGCTCTCTCCAGAGTCACAAACTGCTGGTGTCCACCCCATTTTCCATCTTCTGGAATTTCTGGGTTCATGGTGGCTCTCACTGCGGCTCCTTTTCCTTTCGCAGAGACCCCACCGCTACTCCATCTTCGAGCAAGCCAGCATCGTCGAGGGGCTGGTGCGTCACCTCGGCCTCCGCCACCAGAAGATTAATCTCCTGTCCCACGATTACGGGGATACGGTCGCACAGGAGCTGCTCCACAGGTCACTGCAACCACTGATGCTCTGGCTGCTCTCTGTTGTCCCTGTCAAGATGATTTGTCCCTGTCAACCTGGATGAGGCTTTGGGCAACCTGGGCTAGTGGGAGGTGTCCCTGCCCATGGCAGGGGGTTGGAACTCAATGATCTCTAAGGTCCTTTCCAACCAAAACCATTCTCTGATTCTATGATTTCCAGCAGATAAGTGGAAGGACATAACGCAGAACCTCCTTTCCCCGTACCTACAGCTGTGACAAAAGCTGGGAGGTCTGAGGGCACACCCACGGTAGGCAGATGTGATGCTTCCATCCATCAGATCTTGGCTGGTAGGATGCTTAACATCCCTCCTGAGCTCCTCCTTATCAAACTGGGGACAACAGAAGAGCAGAAATCATCTGATGCTGTTAATTTGACCTGCTGGCTGGTCACTTCTCGGAGCCTGGAGAAGGTCTAGTTGTGCTTCACCTTCTTCTTTTCTCTCCCTAGGTATGAACACAATAAAACTGGAAGCATCTTGATCAACAGCCTCTGTTTATCCAACGGAGGTAAGGTTTGCTCAGCGCGGTGGGATGGGTGGGATGGGGATCCATGGGATGGGATGGCCTTCCTTGTCTCCATCACCCACCACCCAAGAAGTTGCAATTAAGGTGCTGTAATTAACCAGGAGCGTCAGTCCTCGGGCTGTCCGTGCACTTGTAGCGTTACAACTCTCTTCTCTGCCATCCTTCCAGGGATTTTCCCCGAAACGCATCACCCCCGCTTCATCCAGAAGGTGAGCTGCTCCCCGCTCTAGTCGTACTGAGTCACCCTTTGAGCAGAAGTCCGGCTCCGTGAGTTTGGGGTTTTTCCTGGCTCAGATGCCGGCTGCTTTTCCCACTGTCGATTGCTCAGACATCTCAGTGTTAATGAGGGTCAGGGCTGGGAAACTGCTGCAATATGGGGAAAAAAAAAACCCTCGGGGGAGGCAGGATTTACCCCTTTGTACACTACCGTGTGGTGCTGTCTCCTTTCTTTTTTTTTTTTTCCTTCTGCCCAAGATCCTCAAGGATGGGGGTTTGCTGTCCCCCATCCTCACCCGGCTGATGAACTTCTTCTTCTTCTCCAGAGGGTGAGTCGGGTCTTGATGCTGCTGGGCACAGTCCGTACGGGGGGTGTGAGCCAAGCAGGGAGGGGGCCAACGTAGGAAATTAGTGTAGCGGGTCCTTGGCAGGTGAGCCGATCTGCTGGCACTGTCCCAGGACAGTTATTAATAATAATAATTATTATTATTCAGCCTAATAAGCCACACATTTTTTCGCTGTACCCCAAAATCCTTCTCTCCCATGAATATTGGACTTGCACATGTGACAGAGGCAACAAAATCCCTAACTTCATGTTCCATACGGTGTGAAATCAGATATATTTTTTTATCAGATGTTGCAAACCTCCTTTTTTGTCCAAAAAACCCTTTAAACTGGCCACGAAGTCCAACACCAGGTGCCTTTCAGGGATGAGTCGCCGCGCTGCGCTGGCACCCACATATTTCACGGTGGAAGCTGGAAGTGCTTGGGTGTTTTTTGCCCTTGGCTAATTTTTTGAGCCATACTCTGAACTCTTCTTTTCAGGCTTGGGGCAGTTTTTGGGCCCTACACGCAGCCTTCTCCGGCAGAATACTGGGACATGTGGACAGCAGTGAGGACCAACGATGGAAATCTCGTTGTTGACAGGTACATCGCCGTTAATTGCTGCACGAGCTTGGTTTGACACCCGCGGTGTCCCTCTGTTTTCTGGAGGTTACCAGAACTCGGCCAGGTCCCTGGACATTCGCTCCCTGTAGCTTCCAGCTAATTCTGTTGGGGTCTGGGATCATCGTTGCCCCCCAAAAAGAGCTGGGGTGTGATATAGGAGCAAGGATTCCTGTTTTTGAATAATGCGAGGCAGGTAAATGAAGTCTGGTCAGGAGGATCTGAGCCTGCACATGGTGGGAGAACAATGCTGGAGATGTACAATGTGGGGTTTTATTCTTCTTTGGAAGTTATAGGCTTGAATTTGTGGGTTTTTCTTAACAATTGGAGAGAAATCTGGCTTTCTCCTGTTTGACACTTTTGGAAGGACCTCAGGTTGTGAGTTCAGTGTCCTTAGGACCTGTGCATTTCCTTCTCCCCCAGCATGTAAACTCCTCTCTCCTCCCGCTGGGGACAATCTCCGGACAAATCACAGAACACCATAAGGACCAAATAGTTCAGCCTCTCCACAGGACACCTGCTAATTGCTTCTTCTAAACGAGGGATACGTGCCCAAGCCCAGCACTGGGTACACATCTGATGTGCTGCCCACTTGCCAAGTCCCGTCGTGGCAAATTTTTGCAATGTCACCTTTGTCAGCAGCGCAGCTGGGAGGGGAAGCTCAGTGCCGAAATACCTCCATCCCTTAAATACCGTGTGTCAAGAGTATTGGGATGTTATTTAGCGTAGCTTCCCATCGTCAGAAGGCTGAGTTGAACCTGCTGTGCTGAAGCAAGGAGTCACCCCACATTGCTGTCTGGGGTGACGAGACAGGCTGAGGAGCCTTTATCATTTCAGTTTTCACTGTACAACCTGACCAGTGTCATTTTTCTTCTGCACTCCTCCACATGCAGTAGTCCAGTGTTGACTCCTCTTCTGCGGGGCACTGCAACGGTTTCAGAGCTGCTGCGCTGCTGGCAAGCTCAGCATGGGAGGGTTAAGATGACACTGTCTCTGCACTGACTTTTAGCGGACTGATTTCTGCCCTGGTTTGTGGGATCTCATTGCAAACTTGCTTTTTTTCTCTGCCACCTGAGCGAAGCAGCGTGGAATTTACTAAGGACGCTTAGGGGTAACTCCTTTTACAACCCAGTGGCATTTAACTGGGAGCAAAGGACACAAAATTTGCTTCCATCTCAGCTGGGAAGGATTCAAACCTCATCCTCCCACCTCCCCAAATTCTAGGCTGCTTCCCCCCTTCCTAACTGAACTTGGGTTATCCTCCAGCAGGATGCTGAACTGACTCTGCACAGAGATGGCAGGGGTGAGACCTGGAATCTGTGTCCCAACCTCATTTACACTTTTAGTTGCTGTCTAAATTTAAAAAAAAAAAAAAAATTCCCCAAGAGCAATTTCCAGGCTGTGCAGCACCCAGAAGCACCATCAGCTGTGTAACAACAGGTTTCTCTTCAGTATTTTGCAGTATATAAACCAGAGAAAGAAGCACAGAGACCGCTGGGTTGGGGCTTTGATGTCCACCTCTGTCCCCCGTGAGTAGGAATGGGTTTTCCTTGATTTAGTGGTTGGGATGCTGGGAATTGTGGTGTGGGCTTCTTCCACTAATTGCAGGAGCTTGTCATAATTCTGATGAGGATGATGTGGCTCAAATCCAGTTTGTGTAGGGGGTACAACTACCCTGCTCCTGTTTAAAGCTTAGTTACAACAGAGCTGTGAGCTTAAGGTAAGAGGAAAAAGTTTGTTCCCCTGAGCAAAGATAACTTTCCTTTAGAAGCTGGTTCGCAGCCTCTGTTTTCCTCCTTGGGAAACCGAGGTGTTTTTCAAGCTCAAGAGAAGTTGTAACCACTCAAGGAAAGGTTTGGTGCTTGCAGGAGGAGGTTTGAAGGCTAACTTCACCCCATGGCAGAGAAGCAAGAGCCCTTTCACAGTAGCTGGTTTACTCAGTGCTCTGCTGAAAGCTTCCCAAGCTCCATGCTGGGGGGAATACGTCCCCAGCAGACGTCCTTGGCTTGGTTTAGGGATGTCCTTGGGTGTAAAAGCTCCATCTGTGCTTCTGTCTTGCAGTGCATCTCATCTATGGGCCCCTGGACCCTGTGAATCCGCACCCAGAGTTTCTTCAGCTTTACAAGTAAGACTATCTGCCAGAAAGCGGAAATACGCAACTGGGGTTTCATTTTGAGGGAGATTTTTGTCTCGGACTTTTCCTTCCATTCCCTTTTCATGGAGGCTGGTTTTAATTTCCACCTGTAAGCTGCACAGCCAGGTGATTCTGTAGCAGCCTTCTGCAGTTTGAAAAATGCTTCCCCATTTTAGGCATCAAAGTCACAATTCTCAGTCAAATCAATCACGCACTTCAAAACCGCGTCAGTCAGAGGCAAGATTTATTGCCTGGGGAGTGTTTTCCTGCAAACTAACCTGAA